GAGGAGCTTCCTCTGCTTTCGTTGCAGTTCTGTCGGCTTCAATGCGGACAAAGCAACCGAACTGACTTGTCGCCTGACTGACTTTTAGGCCACCATACACCTCCACTCCTCTCCCATTTTTCTCATCATTGCAGAAGAAACGCGGGACAGCTACTCTGGACAATATGTCCTTAAAGTTGTCTGGGCGAAACTCGCTTGCCGCTACCAATCTCTCGTATAGCTGTGTAAGCGTCACATCTCCATGGCCGACGTCAATTGCGTACCAGTCTACAACAATCCCTCCGTTTTTCCTCTGAACTTTTATGCTCACGTATTTCGGTGGAGTGGTCGCCATGTTGGAATTCCCGGCAACGCAATACGCATGTGCATAAGATCATTTACGACGAAATTGGCACGTTTTGAGGTAGTCCAAAACGAGTTTTACGACAAGCCGGCGCTTTGCGACAATATGAGTCCGCAAGTTCTAGACAGAAAACCAATCTGTGTAGACTCGTCGTCGGCGATTTTTTTTTTGTTGAGAACAGGCGAAAACTAATGCGCGCGCGGATGTCATCCATAAAATTAAGTCGGTGTGGCCTTACTTTGAATTCGAACACGCTCTGCGCGACGACCACCACCCTTTCAACTATGGGAGTTCCCCTAGTTCTCAGGCTGATTGTATAATACGGTATCTCAAGGCGATGTTATGACTAATGCAATTCCGTACACCGTTTTCATTATTAATGTCAATGCATCATATCGCTTTATACCAACTTAAATGGGTGACGATAAAACGCCCGCTATCGACGAAAATGTAAATTATCTTATTTGCCGCAGAGGGCACAAATTAAAACCACATAATAGTATGACGTACGCACGAATACGAAAAGCCAGAATAATAGTCGTAATGAAAAAAATGACGTTTAGATCACGTGTTCTTTAAAAAGCGATGGTTGTGGAACACGTTGATCAAGATATTCATGAAACTTGTCACATGTGACTATTGTATACGTCAAAAACCTAGACCGAGTAACAAGTCAGCAAGACAGAGGCAAAAAAAACAATATGGATGAGAAATGAGATTTTTCAAGATTGATAGTGATCAATACATTGGATTGGCGGCTTACTGGCGCTACACTCATGATACGCCAATTATTTGTTTCGTTTGAATATTTGTAATCCCAGTCCATATATGATTTTTCCCCCATAATTTACAATCACGAAACTAAACAAGGACCGTGAAGGCAGCCCTTGCAGGCCTCATGTGCCTCATAGTATTGACCGTATTTACCTCGCAGAATGTGATCAAGAAAACGTCAGAAACTAAAACGAGCCGCCGATGTCCAAGTCACTAGAGGGCCGCGGAACTACAGACACCTGTTGATCGCAACTGTCCAACGCATCGATCTTTTAGTTTATGCACACACAAACATTGTGAACCGCAAGCACACTGTTACAAGGAGACGCTTTCCAATGAGATAATTCTGGGTAAAAGCTATCGAATTACATGTATTGCTTCATGGAATTAGTGCAGGCATCGTATCTGCACATATTCTCAACGCGAGTAGTGCCTCAATTTAAAGTTTTCAAGTAGGAGTACCACTGAGGAGTACCCACAGTTTTGTTACGTGCGTTTGACCGTTTTTGGAGTTGTGCCAATAACAATTTGCTAACAGTAGGAAGTTGACATAACAAAAGTGCTTTGTTTGAATAGGAAATGTTCTGTATTATACAACGAACATGGACCTGTGTTATCGGAAAATCGAGTATTTTCGCAATTCCATTTTCGGGAAAATACGATAATGATAAAAACAACTGATTTCCGCCTAAACTGTTGAAATTTGAGATAAGAAGATACAATTTTTTTTTGCGGTTAAATGGATAATTTATTATATACGCAATTTGGGAGGATTTTCACTCCATGGATGGAAAATCGATGATAACAGCCGAGGGGTGAAAAACGGCATTTAAAAAGTATGGTTTCAACTGTTTGGATCTATTATTCAAACCCGATAGCTGAATCAGAAACTATTCTAAAACAAACGCTGATGGCGCAGTTTGTTTAGTAGCGTAATTCATTGTCCGTTTGTGCAGACAAACTCCAAGTACGTCGTAAAGTTTTCGTTGCTAGGCGGCCGCTATTGAGTCGGAGTCGTTCTGTTAGTTAATCGCGAGATAATAGTGTGACAACAAAAACAGACAACAGAGTCATTGCAGCGGCCTTGGCAGACTCTTGTCACTGGTTACTTTATTAGTACTGTCACTCGCGTCGTCGGTGACGTGGGCAAACCAATGCGTGACAATGTACAAGTCGTAAAACAAATAAAGTAAGACATCGATATGACCCAGCCAACGTGGTGTATGTAAACTGTCAGTCGATTGGAATGTCATCTCTATGGGTTGTCATGAACAGTCACTGAATGCCGCAAATCAACGCAGGTACAAGTACATTGTCAGATGTTGCAAAAAAAACCTGGGTGCAGTCACGGTCACTGTCACCACGACGGTCAAATCAGGAGTCCATGCATATATTCCAAGTCTTGAGTCAGTCATTCTATTGTCGTTGAATAAAATGTGTCTTTCGCTATTTTATCAACATCTGATTTAATTATCAGCCATGCCAACATCGAATGTTAGTAAATCATACCAGGGCAATGAACTTAACAAACATCGGTACACGAGTGTCGCACAATTACAACAATGAGTTCTTACTTATGATATCGTAGAAATAAATAGATTGTTTATGAAGTGCACTTATATACTAAAAGGAGCCCGTGTTCTTTGTACATTGTTCGGGTATAACTATACCCGTTCAGACTCACTGAGGACTTTTCGCTTTTTCAATTATTATATTCGGGTATGATGTAATACACTTAAAATGGCAACTTAAAAACGGTAAATAAAATAAACAACGCTGAATACTCAGCCAGTGGGTAACTATAACGCCGGGTTGGGGTGACGGTGGCATACATACCCAGTGTTCACTCAGTGGTGACACGTTATTCACGCGTTCACTTACTTAAAATCAATATTACAAAAATGATTTTTCACACGATTCCAAAAAACTTCATTTCGCGATAACGCTTTTCGCAAAAAACAACAACATCGCGACTGGATTTAGGTTAAAAAGTGTCAGAGAGACAACAGTTTATCCCTTATATTGCTCGCTCTACCTGCCAGAGCGCCGTATCTGGAGTCGATGTGAACGGTGGCCTACGTTAATAAAAGCAAACCATTGCTAATATGTGATTGCTGAAGTGCTCGAGTCCCGTGTCGATGATAAATAACACATGGTCGTATTTTCTGTGGAGCATCGATAATTATAATGTACGTTTTTAAATGACAGAGTATCCATGAAGATTCATGTTACAGCTATATAATGCAGATGCTATAAAGAAAACAAGATAGTCACAAAATATACAGAATTCATAAGCACGGCAGAATTCTGAACTACCCTAACGACGCCTATATGTTGGCACCCAATCTAACCGCGAGAAGCAAAACCATGCAACTCACGAAAAAGAAGGCCGCATATTAGCTGCGGCTGATTTGACATGACCAAGGTTAAGTCAAACAAAACAGTCCGATCGACTACTCGGTCAACGCAGCTCTGTAATACAGAATTCCACATCATGAATTGAAACCAGGTGAGAGGGCATTTACATTGACATTCTGCCACTAGCGAAAGCCAGTGTCAGTGAAGACGATAAATCATCGCTTTAACGTTGTAAAAACAGGTGCCAAAAAGTTCGAGTAGCGGGGTTTACAACTAGCCGTGGCTGTTCGCGCAAATTTCATCTTTCAGGTGTCAGGGATGACGTGATTATGTAATGGAAAACATATGTATCACCCGTATGCATGTACTTATCTGCATAATTATGTAACTGGTCTTTCCTTTATTGTTACCACAATAACTAAAGCCGAATTATACAGAACGTTTGTATTGACCACTTTCATCGGCCTTTTGTTTACCATTCTGACGTCAGCCTGCTACCGTAACTGTCGCAGTGTCATTGGGTCTACAGTGTATACGCGGCAGTGGGTGACATTGCCGTTTTCGGGAAATGGAGGAACGCTCAACGGGCTCCTCTGATGGTGAAACGAGGAAGCCGTGTTGTGCGAAAATACCATGGGGGAGCTTGTTCTCGTATTTAGGACTTTACACCGTGACGGTAGCGTATTTATTTCTAGGTGGGCTGCTGTTTCACGTGTTGGAATACCCACACGAAGTGGATCTAGCAGCAGGCGCGATAGCTTTACGGGAGGATTTCTTACGAGAGCTGCGGAACACGAGTCGATTGATAGACTCGCCGCAGAACTGGACCGACACTGCCAGGGAGGTACTGGAGGAGTACGAACACGACTTACATTTCTACTGGAAGCAAGGTTGGCGATCCCACTTGGATAATAAATGGAGTTACTTGTCATCTTGTTTCTTCTGTTTGACTGTTGTGAGCACAATAGGTAGGTACTGTTCCATTCAGTAACCCACCACGAACACTTCGCATCGTGACATGTTCTGGCAAAGTTGTCCTCCGTGTTATTTTTTTATTGACTAGAATTTGTCACACTTCTAAAGTTGTATAGTAAATACAAGTAAACACTCGAATGCTGGCGTTTATGTTAGATTTACAACGTTGGCAACAGGTACTCTCGTACACCTTCATGGGCGATCTCACAACCCGCTCACTCACGTGGTATTTTGGTTATCAGCTCAATAGGAATGTCTTGATACTACTGTAATTGCGTGTATTATACCACCCGCCAAATTGTTGATGAATATTATACACCGATCTTGATTATATCATGGAATGTATACCTATATTATAATTTAAACGCGACAGTTATCATAATGACCAACTCAACTTAGAACTAACTTTAACAGCTAATATCACCCCATGTTCAACCATAGCGACATTCAACAAGGCCAATAGAGTCACATGACACTCGTTACATTCCATTTAATGTGCTGCTATTGTGTACCCGATTTCAAGTTAATTTAAGAAAACTAACCTGTAGATAACCGGGCAATAAAAATGTGGAAAACAATCGAATAGGTCAGAAGCTGTAAATGTAGTATTATCTAACTAACTAGTCAGAATGTTTAGTTGGTTTATTTCATACCTATTACGCAGCGAGTGTCTCAGTGGCTTCCTTCAATACAAACGATGAGTACACGTCGCGTCACTCGACTATGTCGTCTCTGAATTTGAAACCCTGAAAACTTGTGTGGCAAGGCTAGTCAATTGCGATGCGTAACTAACTTCGTGCTACAGTGACGAATCGAGTAAATTAAAAGTGCTGTCATGACCATCACTGAACCGGATGAAACACATCACTTCCCCCGTACTACTTAGAAAACTTCTATCCACTTTGTTCAGTCACTTGCGGCATTCGAGGTCAAGAATCGCTGCCCCATGAAACATACTGACTGATCTCTCTCCAAAACTGCATCATCGGTCATTTAAAGTTACTTGGTATTAGTTAGTTGCCAGTCTGCTTTGTAAATTATTAACTAACGATAGATAGAATGAACCATTATCGCCATTCCAGCTCACAATCTTCAATAGCCCTAAGAATAACTTTCGACAAGTCGCGTCAAAATGTTATTATACGTGAACAATAGCGTGATTATTAATCGAATCAACGTTGATATTACAGACACCCAGATAGTTATGCGGTCCGAGTGCGATTCTTTTTTCCCTCAAATATTTAAATTTAGTGGATTTATCATTTACCGAAGGGTGTTGTACAATTTTCAAAAGTATTAATATCATAACAAATACAACAATTTGACTGACGTCTATAGTTCTTAAATTAAATTAAATAAGTAAGTATAAGTATTAAATTGTGTAATATAATTAGGCGGTCTGCGTCGCGTTGTCTTGGCAACTAGGTATTGTACGTGAAAACAGTTATCACGCCTTCAATTTATTTGAGGACTGGGACTAATCAAAAAACAAAAATACAAACTTAAATTAGCATAATTACACTGTTAGAACGAGACTCGGTTGTTATAAAAATCAGCGAAATTTCTATTCGTGAAAACGTTCAATAAAGGTTTAAAATGACACAGAAAAGCTCGGTTTGAGAAACGAAGAATAGAGTGTTTCTCAAGACCGCCTAACCCTAACCCTTACCCTTACACTTCAGTCCCTATGTAATTGTGTATGACCAAATAACTATTATGTCATGGAAGGGGGCATACACAATTGAAATAGGAGAGGGGAACTGGAGGCACAATGTAGAGATAGAGCTATCGGTGTGGGTCCGTAAGGAAGTCGTACTTTAGCTGGATAACGCATTGCAGTGCAGTGTCATTAAACAGATGGTTAATATTTCTGTGTAAATATACACTGCACTTATTGTACTGTAATTTGTTGTGTTAACGTAGATGGAAAGTTTTTAAATATCTGGCACCAACACTTTTTTGTGTTTTAAATATTATATATTAATATTCAAACCTTGGTTATCGGGTGACCGCAACGAATCATGGGTAATTTCATTACTTAGTTAGGATATTGAATTACTTATCACTTCATGTGGAAAAGGAACGTCATTTCTGTAGACGACGGGCACAGACAGTAGGTATGTTATCGAACATAGCGGTAATCCTACAGCGTTAACAAGTGAATACGAGTTAGATTCAGTATTGTATAGGAGACAAAACGGTACCGGGAAGAAAATATTTACTTTGCATCACGACAGCCCAAGCAGAAAGGGTATTTGTCTGGTAAAATAAATCCTGCAGAGCGAAAATGTCGACACGTATATGTGACGAAGTTGTGGAGTGCCGAGTCTTGGTTCCTTTATCCTTAAAATTGACTTACAGCGCTGTACTGTATTCAAAACTGTGTCCCAATAGACTGTGCCCACAACAGGGATCATTCAAGTTTTTTATACGCTTGACACAAAAATGCCGTTGTACGTGGCTAATCAAATACAATTGAAACTTGTTTCTTAAATAGTGTAATGCTGGAATATTTAGGACAGAGAACACTCTAGTAAGTTTTGTCAAGGCCATTGTTAAGAATAGTATGCTTTCACGTACCAATCACTCGATGACCCACGATGGCCAGTGATTCAATTATTTCAGTGGTAAAAGTTGTTTGTTGTTTTGACAGCTGGTATGGATGGTGGTACCCACAGGCTTGTTTCTAACTCTTCAGACATTACCTTTGTTTCTATTTAAGCGTTGGAGGTTTAATTGTTCTCACATATATATTTATAATTGTCTCCGGTCTAAAAATCATGTCCACACTTCATGGTAACCAACGTGCTTCGTGACGAGTAGCTTGGGTACACAGTGTGTGCTGTGAAAAAACCCGGAACGTTTTCTCAAAAATCGTTCAATGGTAGTAGTTTTTCCACAGTCCCCCGCCAAGTCTCGAAAGAAACACAAAATACTACACCAGTTTAATAAATCCGTTCTAGGTCCACGCGAGAGTTAATCTCTATATATGTATACATTAAGCAAACTTGGCTCTATGTTAGCAAAATCTTGAAACCGTTGAATTTGAGCCAGAAGTAACTTTTAGTTGTCGTATCTGAGATGTCTATTTTTTGGTTGTTAAAGTTAAAAGAACTGTTTCATGACATTTGCCTGTACTACTAACCACTCATTACGAAGTAAGAGTGCGCTTTATATTCTCAAGCTATCATTTTAGTGACGATTTTATCTTTTTTGTCGACTTTTTCATCCAATGTCACCATCACAGCTAAACATATTAATTAATAAAACTATTATTAATGATATCGACAGAATACGTTAATGACGTCATGAATAGAAAAACAAATATTTGAAAATTCGTACAGCAAACCTCAAACATAATTCGAATATGTATAACATTTAAAATTCTTATTTAATCTACAGAAGTCACTTGGCAGAAAATACAATGAAATCAATAACATTTTCGGCATGTACGACACAAATACTGCTTCTGTATTTATGATTCGCATTTGATTAAATAGCAATGTTGGACGCAAACACCACTACATCGATACTACTATGCATCGTGGAAACGAACAATATCGATTTATCGATTTATTGATTTATTTCTGACTAACAGAAGATGATGCATTGATATTCCGTGTATTGGGGTTTCAACCAAGAAATCAATTTGTGTTGTTTCACATTTTATTATATCTATTTTTTAAATAACTTTACTATGTTACTCGATATATTTGCCATGCTTTCATACAATTTAATTTATCTTGAAGAGAGGCGATATCCTTTAATGTGTTATTACATTCAATGTGTTTTTGTTCTATAGTTCTTGTTGCTATACACGTTTGATTACTTCCCGGAAAGTATACATGTTTAGCACCAAATAATGATGAGGCAAACGTTCGTACAGTTTCAGCTATGATATAGTACGTTTGGGTAATTCAACGCGCATGCGCATCATTGTGTTTCACGATGCAATCTTAAACAATACCGGAGTTTTACTGAACCCCAGTCAAGAGAAACGTCCCGAATACATGTACTAATGTTGAGAGATTTAATCAGCATTAGCAGTTCATATCAATTTAATTGACTGTTTTCTGATTTGTATGTCTCTCTTGACAAATCTGAAAAAAATAACAGCTCGGTTAACCTCTCAAGAACTACATTTTCGTTGTTGTCTCTTGTGAGTATGATATTGTATATCTACTCAATTTCTGACATTGTCGACCCAAAGAATTGTCTAATTGTCAGTCTGTTTATTTTGCACAACCGCAAACATTCTCGTTTCCGTTTTTTTTAATGTAAAGTTCAATCCAAATGTCACGTACTAGTATTACCGTATATTTTGATACATGTTTGAGAAAACATTGCGTTCAGTCCCATCACGAGTATATTTATAACATATTCCGCCCGTAAGCAGGGTGATGTGATTTTTTATCTTTCGTGCTCACCACACACACACACACGACTTTAGAATCACATTCCTCCTGTACTAAACTGTGGTGACGTAGCCGAATTGGTAGTTGATTGAAAGCTTTGTAGATGTAAAGAGGCATACCATTTTAACTCGCAACTCGTTTTCATGTCGTAGATGTAGCAATGCAAAACGATTTCGACAATTTGATTCGGTGTATGCACAGCACAGCGCTGATGCGTATCAGAATCACTCAGCCCGCCGCTGTTAAGCCCGCATTGGGTTACGCACTCATCAATGGCAGTGACGTACTTTCAATGTACACCGAAAACAAACAAACAATTCATTGTGAATCGCTGCTAAAAATAGTAACTGGAACTATTTCTTTGAGATTTACCATACTCTATTACTTGCTGAAGGGTAAAAATCGCCTCACAGCATGGTGGCCCGTTAACATCAAACATATTTGTGTTATTTGTAAATACGCGGTAATAGTCCGTAACCATTTTATTGTGCGTGTGTGTATCGCAAAAAATCACGCATGGTATTCTATCTTGTAATAAAAACTGCTTATAGCAGACTCATAACGGCAGTAGTATACTAGTATATCGGTACACATGCATCACGTGACTATTCCCGTAACATCATCATCATGATTTGGTTGTGTTATTACTCAGACGTATTTGTAACGTTTACACCAATATTTCAGGACAGGTTTTACATCATATACCGATAAAAGCAACAATACACCACCAACGATGCCAGCACAGTGACTTAACAATAATTTTAGCATCCATTTTCCGGCTTACAAATTGAAATCGTCATGTTATTTTGGCATTTTAATGACAGTGGTGAACGTTAAGGCCACATGACCCCTCCCCGTTGACTTACTTTTACATAATTATAAGCAGATGGTCATGGTACAGTTGATTTGAGAAAAGTTTAAAACATTAATTGTTATGGTCATACGATTCCGGGGCTTGTTAGGACTGTTTACGTGACGACACGTACTCTATTGATGACTTTGGGTAGAACCAATTAAGCAGTGTGTTCAATGGACAACAATAGCCTTTCACCGAGTCGATTGATTCGCTTTTCTGTGGCATTGCGTACCACGATCTCTGGAGAAAATTGAACCAACATAATCACAACAATTCCGGTCGCTATATGATCGGAGGTCAACGAAGAGCTGATTTATTTTACATCGCCATTGAACACTTTTTATGTGTGAAGACTTGCGGTAGATTCTTACTAATTGTATTGGTGTCACCACTGACCCGTTTTAAGCATCGAGGCCACCTCTTAAATTCAAGGGACTCGTATAAAAATAAATACCTTGATGGTGTCGCCCAGTGTAACCACATAACTAACATAGCATTGTCACCAAGTGAAGAGTTGAATAATTCTTATCCTGCCAGTCCATGCACTTTTACGTTGGCTTGACCAGATATAGATTAACGTAGACACATTTTTCGAAATGGGGTTTGGTATTAGGTAACTGGAGAATTTCTAAACTAAGCCTTAAGCTGAATTGTGTTAGCAGGCTAAATATTTATTTATAGAAACAATGAACCCAAACCATACTTAGCGATGACCCTGTGAGGGCGCCGTGTTCATAACAAAGTAGCTATGCGATGACACCTGTTGCTTGGCCCCGAGTTAATATGTGGTCATAGAATTCACAATGAATTGACATTGGGAATAATTTGTTGATACTGTTTTTGATGCGATTGTATTCTTTCTCTATTCCAGGTTATGGACATATCACCCCGACAACGCAGATGGGAAGGTTAGCAACAGTGTTCTACGCAATCCTTGGAATCCCTTTGTTCTTCCTGTTCCTCGCTGAGGCCGGAGATATTGTTTCCATACCTCTCAGGTACATCAACAGCGTTATAATCAAATCCTGCAAACACTGCCCCGACTGTGAGAGCTGTACAGGCACAGACCCCGTCAGCCGTATTGGCAGTACCTTCTCTATATTTTCAAATACAGCACGAAATTCTGTTGGGCATCGAGATGAGGTGGTAAGTAACCACGACAACGCGGAAAATGTGTCGGAATTCGGTAGTCATGGTAACCGCGAAGCGCCACCTACGATGTTGTATACTGATTTACCGGGGGTTCCGGATAATAACGATGAAGGCGCCATGTTGTATCGGGTCGAAATACACTCGAATTCCAAGGCGAGTTCTGTTGGAACTCAAACCGACGCGTCATTACTTGAAAAGTATCACAGCAACTATGTGGAAAAAAATGCGCGTCACCCTGGCAATGGTTTGATAGCCTTCGGCAGTGGTCGGAAACAATCGGCAACAGTCACATACAGTGATGAGGGCGTGATTATGATAAATGAGAAAGATAAAACCATTTCTGCGATCAAGGATGACAGCCTGCAATCTAGCAATACGAACGATAAAAAGAAAAAAGAGGAGCAAGTCGAAGTGCCAATATCAATATTACTATTTCTGCAGTCCACCTATCTTCTCGGGGGCGCAGCGTTGTTGAACAGCTCGCAGAACGGATGGACATTTCTCGATTCGTTGTACTTCAGCACTGTGACGTTCACCACTGTCGGTTTTGGAGATCTTATCCCGTCCAATAACGACCACTCCGACAATCTTTTACAGACTGCCTGGTTTATGTCAATATATATAATAATAGGACTCATCTTAATGTCTAGCTGTATTAGTCTATCCCAGCAACGCATTGTACGATTTACTAAGGTTGTTATGAAAGGTTGTTGCAGGAGTCGTCGATGCCGGAGCTGTAGGCGCCGGTTCAGGCATTGTTGCAGATGATATATAATAAATTCGCCGTGACTGGATGTTTATAATGGTCACGCGAGACTTTGTATTTAATGAGCATTAAATATCAGATGAAATTCAATATTTAATTTAATTTATATATCTTGCCAGCTTGAAACTAAGGTAGGCTATACGATGAAATAAATTATATATACAAGTTTATAAT